TCCCATATACAGACTAAAATTAGAGTACATGAGAGAAAACAATGTAGGAAGTTCCTGCCAGTGCAAACTTTCAGTCTAGATACAGTGATAATGATCGGGTGTTCTATTCGGGTGAAGATGGCAGCCCAGTTGTTGAGGCATGCAAGTGGCATTCAGGAAGTCTTGGGTTCGATCCACATTGGCTTCATGCATCTTGCTGGGCAAGCTTGGCACTCTCCACCTACCGGCAAACCACCAGTAAGTACCTCTCCCATACATCGGCTGTGGGCACCAGTACTTCCTAAAGTCGTGCCCGTAAACAAGCCACAATTTTAGAAAACCTACGGGCCACTACAGGAGCACCCTAATTCATCCGACTAGAAACGTTTCTGCGGCTGATAGCTGGGCCAAGTACTGGTGGTCCAACACGCCACAACTTTCGGCCTTCGGGGCTACCGGACCACAATGGCTGGTTGCACCGGCCAAAAGAAAAAGAAAAAGATGTTGCGAACCACCACTACCTCGCCCATACATCGGCCGCGAGCCCTTGACGTTAAACCACCAGTACATCTTAAAGTCGTGCCCGTAAACAAGCCGCACTTTTAGGAAACGGACGGGCCACTACAAGAGCACCCAAATTCATCCAACTAGAAATGTTTCTACTCTATTTTTTCCCCACGGACGATAGCTGGGCCAAGTACCGGTGGTCTAACACGCCACAACTTTCGGTAGGGACCACAATGGCTCACTTGAATCAAAAAAGAGTCCCAATCACAAGAGACCAACCAAACCCCAACCCACCAAGTGTTCACCCTTACTCTTCCCCCCTCATCTTTGGCAATACTGCATCTTATCTTTTCTCTCTCATGAATGGTTGAGTGACTCTAGCATCAACCTATTTCTGGGGCTCGTGACTCGTTCTGTCTCCTGAGATAAGGAAGTGGCATAGCAGCAGACATCCAGAGAACTCTGAACAGTAGTCTATCGAGTAGAAAAAAACTCATCCTTTCAAGAAAAAAAGTAAGAGTCGCTCGATCTATGCCAACATTACATTAATTCATTGCTACTCATTTGGCAAGATGAAAGGATCATCTGTGCACGTCAGAGCGCCCCCCTGTCGTAGCCTGAAACTATTATGATGTTGTCCTCCACGATAAAGTGGTAATATCAATACCTGATCTGAAGGGAGCCTATCTTAGCTTAGACACCCGAGGTCTCACTCAATAAGAAACCTGTTGTCGTTCGTAACTCAAATCAGTTACTGTACTCGAGACAGTTACAGTAACTCGAAACAGTTGCGCCCTGTAACTCAAAACAGTTGTGGCCTGTAACTCAAAACATTCACTCTACTGGAGACCGTCACAGTAACTCAAAACAGTTGCGGCTTGTAACTCAAAACATTCACTGTACTAGAGACCGTCACAGTAACTCAAAACAGTTGCGGCTTGTAACTCAAAACATTTACTGTACTGGAGACCGTTACAGTAACTCAACACAGTTGCGGCCTGTAACTCAAAACATGTACTGTACTGGAGACCGTTACAGTAACTCAAAACAGTTGCGGCCTGTAATTCAAAACATTTACTGTATTGGAGACCGTTACAGTAACTCAAAACAGTCCGGCCTGTAATTCAAAACATTTACTGTGCTGATACGTCATACTCAAGAAGTCACAAGGCGGCCTAGGAATCTTGGACCCAGAGTTACAAATCAAGGCGCTGCAAACCAAATGGATCATTAAGACAATAACTAACCATAATCTACCATGGACCAAGCTAGGATTGTGAAGGATTCAACAACTAGCCAAATACAAAACGCCTGATAACATGAGGGGCGACTTCTGGATCATGTCCAAATCTTGGGCAATGAAGGGAACCGAGCGAGAGGCAGGGATAGAGCAAGGGGAGGAACAACAAACTGACGACTTCTGGAGACAGCTGTTGAAAACATGGAGAGAAATTCTGCCTGCTAAAGTGAGGGAACCCACAGTCAAAGAAGAGGTTCTCCGTCAACCCCTCTTCTGTAATCAATGGATCCTAGACGCACAGGGCAAACCCTGGACGTTGACCGGTAAGGATTCAAAATGGGGAACATGGCTAGAAAAAGGAGTGTGGCAAGTCAAGCACCTATGGCACGACGCAGAAAGGAGATGGAAAAAGACTGGAGAACTAAGGGAAATCTTGAAAGGATGCCATAACCTGAATAACATCCTGATCTCCATACCAGAAAACTGGCAACGGCTACTTAAACACCCATGCTTATGGAAGGCAGGAGACTGGGCGACAAGAACGACAGACAATATTCCTACCTCGGCCTATCAGTTTCGATCAAGAGAAGGACCGAGGGGGGAATGGATGATCTGTGACATATACTCGATTGAAAACCCAGGGTCAACTACAAGCCTCCTTAGCAAAAACCAAGCCGGCGAAATTTCAATACCAGAACAGTCATTGAGGAAGGTAAGGGTGGTGGAAACCGGAGAGCGCCGTATCTACAACCCACTCACTGGCATAGCAGACCTAGAGATAGACCCAGCTGAGTGGGCATGGAAAAGAAAATCAGTCAGACTAGGAATCGAGAAACGCACAAATATATTGGAATATACCACCGAACTGGGCTATACTCTAAGAATGCGATCATACCCCCTAACCCAGATCACTAGCCAAAGATGGGAGGAAAAACTCAATCCCCCTCCTAACCGGGTGTTGATCACGTCGTGGAGTGGATTTTTAGCCACCACATCTGTAAAGATCAGAAGTTTTCAATGGCTACTAATGCACAGAGCCCTGCCAGTTAATCAATGGCTGAACAAGAGAAGAAGCATTCAATCAAGATCCCCCTATTTGCTCGGAAGGCCCAGTCGAGGACATAGAACACTGTCTACTTCACTGCCAAAAGGCTAAGCAGCTGTGGGCGAAAGCGTCCGAACTATGGCACTCAATTACAGGCAAATCCCTGCCAACGGATCAGATCCCACTCCTTCTAGGTCTACACACACAAGAAGTAGGGCAAGGGTTCGAAACCTCCCTTTTCCACATATTAAGACTCGCAACACTATGGATGATATGGAAGCGTAGATGCCAGGAAACAATTACCCACTCCACCCTAGCAGCACAGGAAGCGTGGGAAGGAAGCCTCAACCTCATAGAGACCGAATACAGAGGACGATGGAAGAAGACATGCAGGAAAATAGACAATAACCCAGCGGATAAGGATAAAATAATAGACTCATTCAAGAAACAATTTTTAGGAGAAGGGAAAATAGCAGTAATAAATCAAAACAAAATTCAATTTGGACAATGGAGATACACACACTTAATCCACTCACAGTTGCTAGAAGCACCAAGAAGTAGAACGCATCTGACAGATATGACGTTGGCCCTAAACTAACACACAATAGACACAAATAGAACTAGAAGGAGGGAACCGAATGTACGACCATCACTAACAAACATACCCTCAGGCATATTTAAGCGAAGAGTAAACTAGAAGATATATTCACAAATCTCCTATATCAAACGACTAGGAAAGCCGATTGTATAGGGTCCAAGGGAGGGCAAGAGACAGAAACAACAGCTCAGGCAAAATAGAGTGTAGCTGGCAATAAAAAAAGAGAAGACCAAGGACAACACTTCCCCCCAACAAAACTCAGAAAATCCCCAATCCAACAAAAACCCGTCCACACAAAAGTAACACAGACCCCCCCTACCACTTCTACCCTCCCTCTCCCACCCCAAGCCTACAACCCCAAACACACTGACCCAGAACCCAAAACATTCACCACTGCACAAACCCCCTCAGCCACTGACACCCCCACCCTAACTACCCCTTCAAGAAACCATAGGCATATTCAACAGAGCCAACTCAAAATAGAGTAGAAACAGACCATAAAAACACACGACAGCCAGCAAGGGGTTAGGGTTCTAGATTGAAGGTTTAGGTAAAAAAGACAGAAGTCTAAAACACAGCCTAAGACTAGAGACTATTACAGCACATAGAAGGACAGGGTTGGGGTCATAGTTAAAGGAGCGGATGAAGACCGAACCAACCCTGCCAGCAATCCTCACAGATCAGACAGCCACATAGCTGAGAAGAAAAGGTAGAGTCAACCTACACTCAGGCGGACTGGGAATTGGAGAACCACGACTGTATTACAAACGAGGGTTTAGGGCTTACGGTTAAGGGCCTAGACAGAAACAAGGCAATTAAAGGCATAAGGCTATACAGATTTCCAAAGGATTCACAAGTCTCCGGAGGGCTCTAGCATAACACACCTGTTCGGCAGCTTCATAGCTGAGAGGAGCAGAACTGGAACCAGACAGATCAGCAGACTGCGTTAGCACAGGCCAGCTTAGGCAGGGGTGAGGGGGGGTACATCCTTCCTCAAGGAAGTAATCAATGCCACCCACTCGGGCCTCCCAGCCATAATGGGGAGGAGCGTGTGTGAGTACTTCATGTATTCCATATTGACTTGCCGGGGGAATAGAGACTGGACTGTTGCTCCCCAGAATGGTAGGAGCCAGAACCGTGAGGTTATGAAAAAAAAAAAAAATAAAAAAAAATTACTGTGCTGGAGACCGTTAGAGTAACTCAAAACAGTTGCGGCCTGTAACTCAAAACACTTACCGTACTGGAGACAGTTACAGTTACTGGCCACCAGTTACAGTTACTGGCCACCTTCTGGAGTTGCCACCTGTAACTCAAAACAGTTACTGTATTCTGAAGAGGAGAGGCCCGTTCCCCTTTGGAACTTAAAAAAACTGTACCCAAGAAGCCACTTGCTGAGGCCTCCATCTCTTTCTTTCAGACAGGCTCGCGTAATGGGGATCTGACTGGTGGTTACGTGATTGGTTTTGCTGTGGCAGAAATTCGCTCCTGCCATAATGTCCCACCGTAGTGTGGCTCGAGCGTGCTATTGGCAGGCTGGCCTGCTGCGGTGCGACTCTTGCTGTTGTCGCACTGACCTACCTACGGCAGCCCGAGTGTGCCCGTTCTCCCATTCAAAAATATTTGATGAAATCGAGGCAGTGCAGCATTGATTGCAATTTTTTTAATGGAACTCAGAGATTGGGTTAGTCCGCGTCTGAGAATCTCTGCAGGCCGATTCTCAGCCGATTCTCAGCCGATTCTCAGCCGATTCTCAGCCGATTCTCAGCCGATTCTCAGCCGATTCTCAGGCGCCGGCTAACCCAATCTCTGAGTTGCATGAGCGATTGCTGTCATGGGGAGACTGAATCTGAGTTGCATGCATATGTAATTGCCAGATCGCTGTCATGGGGAGACTGAATCTGCGTTGCATGCATGCATAATTGCCACCACCCCAGGAGACTGACGTGATCTGGGTCTCGTGACCAAACAAGCTGTCACGGGAACACCGCCCGCTGTGACCTGGGAGATGACCACCGTCACCGGGATAGTTTGCGCTTATGTTATGGAATTGACTCATGCAAAAAAAAACACCTAAGCCTGCATGCTATTCTGTGCTACGTTGCGAACTCTCAAGGTGATGCTGAGTTGAAGTTGCTTAAGTCAAGGTGACACTATGCTATAGTATAGTATAGTACTGCACGCACAGAAGAATAGCTAAGTGCCAGGACCAAACTGCATGCTGTACTCCATGCATATGGTTTTCTAACCAGCAGGCTGCAGCTCATGCGGCCTGTAACTCAAAACAGTTACTGGCCACCTTCTGGAGTTGCCGCCTGTAACTCAAAACAGTTACTGCCCGATTGCATGTTGCGGCATGTTGCGGAATCATGTGACAGGGCTCTACAAGTTCTGACGCCATCAGAACTTTGAAGAGCAGGCAACAGGTCACACAGCACGCTACGGGAGCAGGCAACATGTCACAACAGTACACAGTGTGACCACCCACGAGGTCACACAGTCGGCAGTGTGAGACCAGGCAATAGGTCCAACGGTAAGTACGCAGTGTGACCAGCCAACAGGTCACACACACAGTCCGCAGTGTGACCAGGCAACAGGTCACACACACAGTCCGCATTGCCACCAGCCAACAGGCCACACAAAGTCTGCAGTGTCACCGGGCAACCGCTCACAGATAGATGCATGGATCCTGGTCAATATTTTCGCAGTAGTATGGAAAATCATGCAGTGGAAGATGAGAGCTCAATTTCTGTTGCGAGGTTTTTAACTCTTGTGCTGTGTGACCAGAAGAGCCCTTACTGCAATGTCACAAGACCGTCGGGGAAAAAAAAAAAAAAAGAAAAAAAAAAAAGAAAAAAAAAAAAAAAAAAAAAAAAAAAAAAAAAAAAAGAACCCGAACACACACACAGCAAGCACACCCCCATAGATAGACTGAAAGCCTACCTAGTGCACCCACCCAGCTGGCTTGGCAGTGTTGACATATCCGACAAAAGTCTCAAAACCGGCTTCTTGAAAAAAAAACACATCTCACAACCGCGGTTGTACCGAAACACGAGGGGGAGCACCGCTTAGGGAATCAGGCGGACCCTTGTACACTGGACTGAACTCTATCGAACGAACGAACAAGCAGGCAGGGCACACTCGTACTCGTACACACAGAGGCAGACACGGGAGACAGACTGACAGTCGTACAGACAGGCACGGGCGCATACGAGGGGAGGGAGGTGGAGGGGGAGGGGCAGGGGGGAAGGGGGGGTGGGTGGGTGGGTGCGCAAGCAATCAAGCCGAGCAAGCGTGGTAACGAGGGAGAAGGTAAAGGTTTATAGCCTTCTACAATTAGTATTTAATTATTATTATTATTATTATTATTATTATTATTATTATTATTATTATTATTATTATATTATATTATTATTACTATTTATGATATTATATTTTATTATTTATTATTATTATTTTCATTATTAGTATTATTATTATTATTTTATATTATTATTATTAATATTCGTTACAGTTCTTCTCAACGTGGCCTGATGACATCTTGGCAGAGAGAGCAACACGCCGCCGAAATTGGGAAAGAGGGAAGTGTGTGTATCTTCTCGTTATAAATGGATTGTTACACTCGCTGGCGATCATTTTTCGCACTTGTCGAGTGGTTTTGTTCTCTTTCACTCCTCTCTTTTTCTCCTCCCCTCCTCCTCCTCCTATTTCTCCTCCCTCTCTTCGCTCTCCTCCCTCTCCTCCCTCTCCTCCCTCTCCTCCCTGTCTTCCCTCTCCTTCTCTTTTCCCAGGTCGTCGCCTCGGCCTCTTGTTGCCCACCATCACCATCACCATCATCACCATCACCATCACCATCACCATCACCATCATCACCATCACCATCACCATCACCATCACCATCACCATCATCACCATCACCATCACCATCACCATCACAATCACCATCACCATCACCATGATCACCATCACCATGATCACCATCACCATCATCACCATCACCATCACCATCACCATCACCATGATCACCATGATCACCATGATCACCATCACCATCACCATCACCATCACCATCATCACCATCACCATCACCATCACCCAGACAATGGGTGTAGGCGCATTAAAGTTGATTAAACCCTTTTCTTTGGGGTCTTGAAAAGCCCTTCTTTTTAGGGTCTTAGGAAAAAAGAAAAAAGAAAAAAAGAGAGAAAAATGAAAATTTTGAGAAAGTTTATGAAAAGGTATCAGAGGGCAAGAATGCATGGTAGCTATACACAGAGGCAAGAATGCATGGTAGTTATACACAGCCCACGTGGCTGAATTATACATGAACTGTTCTCAAAAAACACACCTGAGTTCGAATCCAGATGGAATGAAATGTGACTCTGACTAAAATTACTGAAGGACGGTCAGTTCGATGATGATGCTATCTCAAGGCCCTAGCCGTTTCACAAGGGGGRAAGAAAAAAARGGGRGRGGGGGGGGGGGGGGGAAGCTAAAGTGAACGCACGGCACACTTGTATGCCCAGCTAATGGATTTGTTTTTAATTTTTTTTTTAGCTAATGGAGAATTTACCCTCGGGTTTAACGGAAAATTTTACCGTGGTCCTTCGGGACATTCTTTGAAATTGGAACGATACAGAGAATGAAGATTAGCATGGCCCCTGCAGAAGGATGACACGCATAAATAAGGAAATGGTCCAAATTAAAAAAATAAAATAAAAAAATCCTCGGGCTTAGCGGAAAATCCGTCGTTTCTTCGTTTTTTTTAACTTTTCATTTTCGATGAACTTTTGTAAAGGTTCCCCCCCTCCCCCCCCCCTTCCATCACACCATATCAATTTGCCTCTGGCGATCTCTGACGTTCCGTCCTTCCTCCCTTGGCTGCTGGAACCCTTTTTTTATTATTATTATTTTTTTTTTTATAACACTGCTCCTTTCTATACGTGGGGAGCTGCCGGAAATTCTCGTTGCCCTCATCGCTGAAGTTCTTCTTTCTTGCTTTTTGTTTTCCCTTTTTTTTTTTTTTTTTTGGAAGAGGCGACAACCTTGAGATGTCATCATTGAACTGACCGGCCCCAGGTAATTCATAATAATTTTATTCTGGCCATCTGATTGTATCAGGATTCGAACTTGGGTCTGATTCATATTTCAACAGTTCGGGGGTGTACCAAATGAGCTTGGCCCGTTGGTTCTTTTCTTTCTTTCTTTCTTTCTTTCTTTCTTTTTTTCTTTCTTTCTTTATTGGGGTAACTTCAGTCGAGTCAGAAAAAAAACGAGTTATAATTGCACTATGGGGCAAGATACAGTTTGCAATTATTGCACTTTGGGCACCCTACACCTGGTCAGAAAGCTGGGTTGTATACATTGCCCGAACTGCAATTCGAAACTGTATCACCATAGTGCCATTATAACTCATTTTTGTGACTCCGGGGTAGTTTCCCCTTCTTTCTTTCTTTCTTTCTTTAGGCATAAAGATAGTTATGATGATGATGATGATGATGATGATGATGATGATGATTAACATGCATATGTTGATGAAGAAGGACGAGAATGAAACTCATGGTGCTACAGAAAAAAAATGATGTGGATGAAGATGATTATCAATGAAATCATGATCTGGATCTCTTGGAGGTTCTGCTGTCTTGGGAAAAGGGGGGGGAGGGAGGGAGGAGGTAGAGGTTGACATCGAGGAGAAAAAGCGACGACAATATCGATGTTGATGATGATGATGATGATGATGATGATGATGATGATGATGATGAGGAGGAGGAGGAGGAGCTGTGACCCCCCGTTGGCCCCCTTCCCCTTCCCCCCCCTCCTCAAGCAGCGCGCCCCCCAAAACCTTAGCCTCCGCTTCAGCTTTCCAGCGGCTCGTATCAGGGACTCGAAAAATCAAAATACGTTAAATAACCAGATTTTTATTATTATTATTATTATTATTATTATTATTATTATTATTATTATTAGCATTTTAATGTTTTAAATAACCAGATTCTGGCTCTCAGATGCCTGCCTATCTGTGCAAGCTTCAGACTTTTGAACTTTTTTTTTTTTTTTTTTGTGAAAAAAAAAACTTTTGAAGGACCACCCACTTTGTGTCAGACTTGTCCAGGTGGTCATTTGGGTCCCTGTCCCTGTTAAGTGTGTTCATTTGCGGGAAATAGGGTTGACAGCCCCCCTGTGTCGAAAATTCAGCTGGCCCACTGCTGTACTAAGCTCCTGTAAGCCCTTTCCTGGATGCATCGGACCAGGATTAAGGCCACATTCCGCCGAGAAAAGTTTAGAGTGTGTGTATGCTAAAAAAAAAATCCTTTCGTGGATGCATCTGACCGAACATATGGCCACATTCGTTCGCGAAAGTTCCGAGTCTGAGTGTATGCTAACAATCCCTTTCCATGTTTTGACCTTCTCGCAGAGTCTCCCCTAAGGCCGTCATAATCACAGCAATCACGGAGCAAGTGGCTGGTCACACACACAACTTTTCTGGGCTCATATAGACTTGAGTACACCCTTACATATATACATATATGTTTAACGATATATATATATCGTCACAAACAGAGCTGCCTATGGTAAACCGTAGAGGCAGAGAGAGGGAGAAGAGGACAACAAACGAGGGGCTGTGACAGACAGACCGTTTCGTCGGAGTTTCACCGACTGTTCATGCTTCCAAAATAAATGGCTGACGTGCTGCACAGCGCAATGTGTGAGGTTCAGGCAATGGAGATGGGGACGGCATTGGGAGCAAAAGTTGCTACCCACAGGACTCAAAAAGGGAGGAGTGTGAGCACTCAACATTTTCACTTTCAGCCAATCATCTTCTTTAGACCACGTGGAATTGGTAGCGGGGGGCATTGCTCCTCATGGCAGGCCTCTTCGTCGAAGAAGGCGAGCGTGAAGACGAGGGGCACTCTTTCTGTGCGCTACGTGACAGATGAACCTGGACACGTGGTCGGATGGTACAATGGTGGTGGGGGGAAAGATGTGTGTACCAAGGCCTGCAGAGTAGGGACGGCATGGGGCCACGTGGCACAGCGAAAGGCCTCCTCTCGAATCTGGCAAGCTACAACGAAGATGATGATCCTCAGCTGTATCGAGCGTGGTGTCGCTCATTCTGAGTGTGTTCGTCTTGTCGCGATCGCGACCCTCAGTCGTAGAACGACAGCAAGCCCGTCTCACAGCATCAGGTCCATTACACAGCTGCCACGTGGACATGGAAAGCAGCCAGCTATGGCGGACGTGACAGTGATGCCTCGGTTGACCGCTATGGTGGATAAGCTATCCCTTGAATTGAAGGAGAGGAGGGTAAGCAGCATCAGCGGCAGCAGCAGCAGCATCAGCAGCAGAAGCAGAATCTTCAGCAGCAGCAGCAGCAGCAGCAGCAGCAGCAGAAGCAGAAGCAGAATCTTTAGCAGCAGCAGCAGCAGAAGCAGAAGAGACAGAGGTAGCATTAGGAGAGAGAGGAGGACCAGGATAACGATGGCACTAAGGTATGAGTCACATGTGGCTATGGCGGACACAGCGGGAGATGGCGATGGAGTTGCAGTTGGGGAGCGCAGAGGCGTTCAAGAAGAGGAGTCGCGGGGTAGTGCTGCCGAATTCTGCGGTGCGGAGGGCGTAGTAATGAGCGGCAGAAGAACGGCGGCCAGTGATGGGGTGGAGGGAGAGAAACGGTATTACATCCACACGTTTGGGTGCCAGATGAACTCTGCTGATTCTGAGAGGATGGCGGGCATCCTGGAAAGCATCGGATATGCCAACGTGGAGAACCCTGATCGTGCAGACTTGCTCATCTATAACACGTGTAGTATCAGGGACAAGGCCGAGCAGAAGGTGAGTGTTCACGCTGTACTGAAAGAGTCCCATACATAGTAGTATGT